TGATAGAGGTTGTCAGAATGAGGTAATTTTGACCACGCCACTGTTCCTCGTAGTTATGTAATTGTTGAAACATTTGCTCGTGACTATGTTGCCTGGTAGCCAATCTTCTTTTCAAAACGGAGATGCCTTGATACGGGGTCTGAACATAGAACTTCGTATGGCTTGGTGGTCATCTGGTCATCTCTTCAATGTGGATGAAAGTTTGGCATCAGTATGACCTTGTGTTTGCAGTGCCGTGGCTGTAGGCTTTGGAACCTGCACGTGCGTTTGGCACATGAATTTAAGAATATCAGATATAATATTTGGTATAAGGGAGCCTAGCTTTCGAGATCAGACCACCTCAATAAGTACTGGAGCTGGAGCCAATCGATAATGAGGCTATTTCCAAAGACATCATGATTGGATGCAACGACGAAGGGGAACTTGATGCCGGCGAGGCAGATTCCGAAGCATCACAAACGGCATAATAACTGAATCTGACCAGAAGGATGAGTATGTAGAATGAGCTATTTCTCGGGATACGCACGGACGGAGAGCTAGCTTCTTCTTTCAAGGCCAGATATATTCAGGTATGTCAACTAGGATAACGACACAATAAATCGTTTTCGTGGGTAAAGGCAGTCGAAAATGAACCTATTTGGTGCTAGGACTTTGCAAACTGCATAGCCACATCCTGAACGCCCTATTTAACCGAGGTTGCCGCGGCCACCATGACCGAATCATCTGAGAAGAGGGTAAAAGGAAGCCGGTCCCCAGGAGATGGTTCTTGACATCCCTTAAGATCTGACAGTAAATGTGCCTGCGGATTCGACTTTTGAGGATGCGAAGATTGCTAATTGATCTTCCCAGAGAACGAATAAACATATGATTCCAATATGCAAGATAATGCGGACATAAATCTTTTGCAGCCCTTCTTGATGCCGAAACGTACGAAATCCCACGCATAAGTCAAATGACAAAACGTGAATGGCTCTTGATGCAGTACTGCAGCGCTAGATATCGCGGGGATATAGCGCGGAAACGGGTTGCCTTTATCCAATATTGACGCTCCCAGAAGTGTGGATGCGGGTATGGCCCAAAATAACGATGTAGTGGTTCAAAGGCAATCATGAGAATCGAGATAGTCCGAAATTGCTGCGGATGGGAAAGAGAAAAATTAAAGAATACAATAGTCCTTACTGTTTGCGGACCAGGTGCGGTACCGTGACATCAGGAACAAAGTGCTATTGGGCAGACCACGGCGTAGCTGAAGAGAGCTTGACAAAAGTTCTCAAATCCAGAATAGTGCCTTCCCCATAGTATGGTCGATTTTTAAGAAGGGAGCGATATGTCGTCATGGTAGACTCGGACATTATAGATGATCCCTCTACCTTGTAATGGCTGCGCTCAATTGGCTTTAGAGCGAGACCTGATTGGAGGATAGTGACTAGAAATAAAGAGGTCATTGTTTCACCATAAGCTTATGTATGAAGACTATTACCAGATAAGTAACAGGGATGATACACTGTCCGTTACTTGGCTGGGAGAGCTGGCACAACCGGGTTTAGAACGCCTGTATGGGACTATAGAACGGCCCGAGATTAATAGTGATGGCATGATTCGATTCTGGAATGGACAGGACCTGGGACGGACATATTGAAGCAGATAACGAGTTCGCAGATTCGACAGCTTTGTGAGAAGTATTGGCTGCGCAGCAGGGAGCTTGTTCGTGGTCGAATCGCTGAACCCCAACATGGTGCATGATTGACCGGAACTCCAGACAGGAACATAGGAAGGTCATCATGTCTAGATCTTCATGAAAACATGTTAATTGAGAAGCCTGATCTTCGAGCACCAACGTGTCACTTACGGCGAAGATACCCGAACTTGAGTATGGAACCTTTCTCCTTAGGATTAATCCTAAACGAGGGTCGAAAAGGCATCAAAGGCATCAAAGTTCAGAGCAATACGCATAAGCTCTTGGTAAGAAGGCGACATACCGTTAGAACCTTCCAGGTGGGATTAAGTTGCGCGCAGTGCGCATGAAGACTCTCGGTGACAATCACGGTCACAACGTATCCAGATGTTGTGTAACACGTGACCCGTCAAACTAATAACTGCCCCATGGCTTAGTTGGCTATAGCGTCCGACTGTTAATCGGAAGGTCGAGAGTTCGATCCTCTCTGGGGCAGCCTATTTCTTTTTCTTCCATTTTCGCTTGGAAATTTATCTCTCGGAATTGGCACCTTTGGATTTTCATGTAGGAATTTTCAGTTTTTTACTTTTACCTTTCTTTCGCGAATAGCAAGAGGTCCTTACTAACCTAATATTTTAATCTGAACATGTATGTCTTTTTACAGTATTGAATATACGTAGTTGGAATTTCTATTATATTCGTTTCGCTTTGACATACATCATAATTACGGAAATTTTCTCGTGATAACGTTACAGCTCTTTCGTTATGTAAGGCATGCACCTCATTTGCGCACTCAGTTCACCGGTAAGATCTAAACAACGATATCTTACTCATTCCTTCACTATTTGCCTTCAAACTTAGAATGGACCTTCTTTGACATGTCTACAAGGGCATGATAATGAAAACAATGCAAAACCTTATAGAATATCTTCACAGTAATGTTCCTAGATGTTGTATGCTACATATCACTGATATCCCTCTGATAGTGGGATATTTAGAAAGAAATTTCTATCCGGCTTTTACACCCTGCTCTCCAGTACCTATTGAAGGATGATCACTTCAAGTTTGAAGGCAAAGAGTGAAAGAATGTGCGAGATATTGCTGTTTTAAATTTTACCGACAAAATGAGCGTGCAAATGAGGTGCATAATGCAAAGAACTGCAATACAGCAAACCTAACAAATTGTTTGCCGAAGTATGATACGATGAACAGCTATGACAGTTGGAAGAAGCCAAGGTTACTCAGGCTTATAGTAATATAGACTGTTTTATCTATGTGAGCAGATTCTGGGAATAGACTACAGAAAAACTAGCTCATCCTCCTAGGAGATGGGGGAAATATAGGACAGTCTCAGCCTTGCCAGGGAGTAGTTCATCAGCACGACCACATATATTAGTCCAACTTAGGTGTACAGTCCCAGGGAATAATCTCAATAGCCTGGGTGTATATTTAAGAAAAGAAAAACATGCCCGTGCCGAATAGCCACATTAGTGGATTCGTTGAAAGCCTAAGACTCAAATGCTAAAGCTCAATACCATGATATTGATGAATTTCGAGATTGGGCAGAGGGCCATAAAAAAGTGGACATTCTGGGAATTGAACCCAGGACCTTTCGCAATCACATAATGCGAAGCGAATATTATACCCCTAAACTAAATGCCCGTTTAATCTTTCTCTTCCGTTATACAATTGGTCAGTCTAATATCTAAAGACTGTATCCTTAATGTCCGCATTGGTAAAGCGGCATGCATGGTACAAATAATTTAAGGTCACTGCCGTTTGTTCAAACTTACCACTACAAGTCCCTTGGCAATATTTATGTTTCCGAGTCTGCAAGAGCACTGGCCTTGACCAACCGCAGTCTATCCAATATCAGTCTAGGCATTAATAAAGACCCTGCGTTGACTGACGTATCTCAAATGGTCTTCAGTCAACAATTGCACCCGTGTGCATCCGCACATGTCCGCTTCTTCACATGGCCAAGAAATCAACGTTGTCGTAATTCACCTCGCATTCTTCTCAACTGCGCAGTATATCCGTCAAGGCTCACTCTCTCTGCCGCTCCGAAATGAGAGCTTTATCAAACCCTGCTCAGGTCAAAACGTGTATTTACCTCATTCCACATTATGGCTGTCACCGATGTGACAGACGGTAGCTCCACCACGGAGGTGTATACCACGCCAAGCATCTTATCCATACATCTAATTCGCCAGAGGAGTATGTCTTTTACTTTATCAATCAAAGTGAGGTTACAATGATAGCCTCAGGGGTACGCTGACGCACGCCACCCGGAACAACCATTGAAACCCCTTCTTTCGATCCTTTCAAACAACCCAATCTCAAATCTTATTGAAAGGTTCCTTGACTTTCAGCATCACTGTCATTGTAACACCACAATCATCCCACAATATCTGCATAAATCAAAATCCACCCATGCATCCATGCCCAAACCTTACTGAACAAACGCCGTCAAGTACTAGTATAGATCCATTTCTATCCATCTCCAAAGAAGACCGGAGACATAGAGTTGGATAAACCCACCGGGAATTACCATTTCAGGTTAATGGCCATTGCGCTTTCTACATTCAGGATTCTCGTCCCTTTTTAAAGGTTTCTTCGCAATCTGATAAGCTGCATATGGCATCTCTTATTTTTATTTGATGTCCGGCAAATAGAAAAAATGTGTATGGATGGTGGGTATTTGTTCCCGCCCTTCGTTTCTAAAGAAAATGAAATCGAATAGGTTTGATAGTCAGCGATCGTCCGCAAGGAGTGAACTTCAGCCGGAGAGGATATATTCAAGTTGGAATCGTATAACGGTGCACGCACCGGCTTGGATACCGCAGCGAAACCTCTGATGTAAGCGAAATTGAGGGGTAATCCCAATATCCACTGTAAATGACTCAACAAGCCAAATGGGAACACAAATCCCTAGTCCGCCCCTCTCCTTCGGAAGCTCACCGCGGTGAACTTGTAGCCAAAAAATGGGAAAACTGATCGTCACTTCCTATCGCGAATTCGAAGACCTTGAAGAACGGCTGCTTCTTACCAAAGGAGGAGGTGGATACGCCGAGAATCTCGCGTGGTATGCTTGTGTGCAGGTGAAGGTATCCAAGGTCGCATTCCTACTGGGACTACGAAACCGTGACCTCTGGCATGCTACTAAAATTTTAATCCATCCCAATTTTGTGGATGCAGGGTAAAAGAAGTCACAGTGGTTCATGGGGTCCCTCTCGGACAAAGTTTGCATTGTTGTAAAAAGCGAACGAAGGTGGATTAAGTTTCAGGGATTTGACGAAGATCGGAAACTGCAGCAGTAAAAGTACTGCCCCAGAGAAGCTCGAACTCTCGACCTTCCGATTATTCACAACTGATCTTCTTGCAGTCAAGGACATATTACTTAAAAGCTGGACACTATAGCCAACTAAGCCATGGAGCATGTGGACAATCAATATTGTCATGGTCAGGAATCGGCGGTTAAAGGCGTTGACATTGTTCGCCCTTTTGAAGTGTCAAAATGGGCAGTAAGGCGGATACGTTGTCATTAACGAAGAGTCTGGATCCTTGCTGTCTGTTCGCATCGAAGAGGCCCCTCGCTGCCAATGCCCAAAAGGCGTGGGATGACAAAGTGAGAAATGGGGCTCAACTCAATGAGCCTAATACTATCAAACATTTCTCCAATTGATCTCTACTTTCCGTTCATTTAACTATAATATTCCATTGTTCCCTGTTTACAATGTCATTATGTGTTATTGTATGTACCGAGTCTGACCCAAGTCTATTATTATTGTGTCAACATGATGAGAACAAAAATAACAAAGCAAAAACACTTGCAGCCCACTAGTGGGAAGCTGTATGTAGAAAAAAAAAACACTACAAGGAACATATACCATCATTATGCTTATTTCAGGACTTTATCAAAACAATTGTGCTAAGCAAGAATCGAACTCGCGGCTAGTCGATGGTAACAACCAAGATTATCACTACCCTATTAATACCCAATTATATTGTTATTTCCGTCCACTCCAGCGGTAGGGTAGTATTAATCTTTTACTTTTACCCTGTAATGGGATACACGTTCCATCATTATCACACCCAGTGACATAATAGAGGCAATGACCAACAATAAAACACAGCGCGCCGACTAAATCTGTTCAAAAATCCCACAACGCCGCCCTCTAAATCCCCATGGAGGGGAAAATGATAAAAGGACCTGCCACAGATAGGCTTGAACTCTCGACCTTCCGATTAGCAGTCGGACGCTACAGCCAACTAAGCCATGGGGTATAACTTCCGCCGCAGCAACAGGGAACATCCGTCCGCCCGCCTTTCCGTAATGCAGATGCGCTGAGATCGGTTTGTCCTTGTAGTAATTTCGATATTTGACAGGTATTCAGTATATGTAATTTGAACCATATATTGACCTGAAATCAGATTATTTTGCGTTGTAGGAACCAACATTGAGCACGATAAACACCCCTGCATGTTAGCAACAGCGATGCATGTTCTTACTTCTTACCACCCTGCACCTTACCCCGCCTTCGCCACCCTGTATATTCCTTGTATAGTTTAAAGGCCTGCAACAAACGACAAAAAAGCTCTCTGTGCAATGTTTTAAATTCGTAGAATTTCACTTCTCAAAGCTGCTCCCCCCAATTTAGAGAACAAAAAATTATAAAAGGATCTGCCCCAGAGAGGCTCGAACTCTCGACCTTCCGATTTGTTTCGCAACCGAGCCTCAAATTGAGGATTCAATAGTGAGTAACAGTCGGACGCTATAGCCAACTAAGCCATGGGGCATGTGTTTCAATAACGGGATGGTGACACCCTGTCCGCTCCTGCTCAACAGATTGATCTGTCCGATTTCTTTCTGGGAAATTAGGATATCGGCGGCATTGGATCTAATAGCAATGCATAAACTCGGGCGCGAACGACTGATCATTTACTTCGATGCCCGGACCTGCAAACATCTGCTATCGAGTGATGTAGTGTAGCATATATAACCATCACCATGGCTACTTTACATCTCCACCACTCCGTCAACGCCCATGTGCAGCAGCAAATGGATCATTAATATTCCGAGTACACTGCAATCACTAGCCACAGTCCGGAACTGGACTGCAGTGGCCACTGATTCTGAACATGTATTTAAAGTTTCTGCTCCACTCCCGGTCTCGCATGAACTCTCAACGTCAGAAGAAATCGGACGCCCTATCCATCCATCCATCTGTCTATCGCCCATTCACTGAAGGAGATCACGTCGATGAACTCTAGCGTTAACCTAACTACCATCGCAACTTAATCACTATTCCGTTGGGGTTAACGTTGACTGTGCTTTCAAGGGTTCCTGAGGTTCATTCTGCGTGCTCTATCATGTTTCTCTTCTACCAGGGAGGAATTCTCAATAGCCACGCTTTTCGATACTCCAAAGAAGGAAACGGGCACGGAAGTGGGGTTCCTCCTTCGAATGTGCCGCAATGTACACGCATGGATGTCTGGTTGGATAACGCTCACCGTTCGGTAGTATCAGCCATCTAACGTGGCATTCACGTTCCGGCCGATAGCATATACTCTGGAGATATAGCGCTCTCGATCTTTCTTTCCTTTCCTGGGGTCAGATCCTACGTTGTGATTGTAGATTCCGGATACTCAGTAGAGTCCATACTGAAGAAGTACTACACAACTAGCTATCCCGAACTACAACCAGTGCCAATCCGAATTCTCGAATATTCCCTTCCGTCAAGGCTTCCCTCATTAATATTAACGCGAACGTTAAATCTTGAATTAAATAAAATATTAATCCATGCCCTTAATTCTAATTCTTAATTTCATCCCCAAGCCCATGTCCCGATATCGAGCCTACAATGTTCTCGCTAAACTTCAGAAATTCGGATCCGAAAGTCAAGGATAAATATACATACTCTTGTGTTTCCTTCTTTCGTGTCCTCCTGAATTCTAAATCATTTAGAAAATCAGGGGGAAAGCAATAATAATAGAACGTAAAAATAAAAAATCTTGTTATATTTAAGCACCATATCCCAGGCTCATTAACAGCACGGCCTAATCCGTATCGGCCTTCTTTAGATTCTCCCCAGTATTAACAGTAAAAACGTAAAACTACCCTCCCGTTAATATATCCCGGTGCATAGGATCCGGGTGAGCCTGAACGTCTATATAGTGTCTGGCTAGAAATTCGAATTCGGCTCTAATATATTATACTACCTCTTCATAATCGTAGGATATACCAGATATTATAGTAAATAATCTCAGTAGCAGATCAGATAAAGGCCTTAATTGCCTCCCAGCCTCAGTCTCACTGTGACACACTCTCCCTCTTCCAGCTGCGTTTCCCAGGTCCTCCATGCAATCTCAGGAGTACTCACTCAGTATACAATAAAACACTCGGCCTAAACTGTCACCCAATACTCCTCCCGACATTCGCATTCGATCCCCTTCGACCCATACATACATATCGTCCGGCATGTAAAATCCACTGAGTAATACGATGCCGACGAGCCTCGAAATAAGAACAGACGACGCATCATAAACTTCATACGATACACGCAGTAGTACCTCATCCACTGAATGATACGCTCAACCATTAGTCCGACCACACTCCAAGTTCCTTCCGCAAAGTTGCCATGCCCAACCGATCTCTAGCAGAATGATGCTTGATATTCTTATCTCCAAAGCTCTATACAAACACCTATCTTCCATTTACTCGCTTCTTCGCGCGCACGCCTCCCTGAACATCTCCTACCAAGTTCCCTAAACCCTCCCTGCCTAAAGTCCGCCAAGTACCGCGCTAGGATTTGCGCATCCTAGAACCTCCCATCAAGGAATATCCTTGTCTTAGTTACTCGCCTGGGCGCTTTAAGCCCACTGAGTCCCTGACCTTCGCCTTTCGAATCTCCAGCCTCTGCAAAGTTCCCTGAGTACCCCAGGTCGCCCTCCCCTTCCCAGAGTCTAGATATCGCTCCTCCCATTCGACACTAGCATGAACTCTATAAAACAAAACAACCAGCTTGCATCCCTTCTCATCCCTGTTCCTTCGTATCCCAGCGCAAAGTTGTATCTCCTGCCTGCGCTTGTCGTTCTTCCCTGAGCTTAACGGTTTTGACGCCTCGGACATTCCCTGCTGTAATGTTTTACAACATTAACACCGGATCATGAGCATGAACACAATTAACAAAGCTAGTTTGAGTATCCGCACCTTTACCCTACATGGGCACAGCCATCCGACACGAGAGTTGATCTGCGCGAAGGGAAAGCGAGCTTGGTAGCTTGAGGGATTTCAGTGCTGCTTTCGATGATGTTTGGAGGACCAACGGCGGCGGCGGAGTGGCATGATGAAGAATTCAGAATTGGCAGGAAAACAGGAAACCCTTGATGGATTGTCCGCCTTTCAGGGTAAAATTTCAAAGATACGCCGGGGGCGCAGTGCAGTGTCTCGCGAGATAGGTTCGGCGATAAGGAGATAAGAGAGTGTTTGCCGTTGCACATTAGTGCGGGCCTGGGTCCCGCGTCTGACGTGCACATCTGTGGCTGAGGAGGGAGACGGCTCGGAGACAGTGCTAATCATGAATCATGCTCGCACAGCGAGCCGGTGGCGGAGACGTGAGACATAAGGGTTTGAGGTGTGTGTGGAGGGGTTGAAGGACGGTGAACATTAAGAACGTCCAACGACCAACGATGAACATTGATTAAATACGACCTTCGGCCTTCCTTCCACCGCGATTTTATTTGTTGAATCCCCAAAATTATCCCCCAGTCGTCCTTATAATGATAAGTATTCTCTTTATCGTTTATCGTGTCGGGTACCGGAAGTGTTTATCATGCGTCTAAGGGAGGTCGCACGCCGCATATTCGGATAAATGCGATAAATATTCGACTGAGGGAGGTAGGGATAGGGTGTGGAGGTGCCGAGGGGTCGAGTGATGAACATTAAGGATGAGCAGTAGCGAGAAGCTGGCATATTGAATCCAGGGCCTCCTCGTGACTTTCCCTTTCTTCTTCGTGGAATTGAAATCAGATGAGGCAGACGTTCATGATCATATACACCCTGCGCCTAGGGTCGACCGCGCCGAATAGCATTATGGCTGCTGGGCCATGTAGGGTCCAGATAGAACCCATGAGCCCGAGACAGGGCCAGGGGCGATCCAGGGTAGACGAGCATCATTAGTGACTTGAAGAACGATGGATATAATCGAGCATAGCGTTATGCATGTTGAACAGTAGCGGCTATAGTTTTTGCGAACTGCGCCAATATATTGAAGGCGGGATGTAGGGTCCTTAACATGAAGCTTGAGCTTGAACGTGCGGGAAGTCGGGTGCGGGAGCCGACGGAGGGCTGATTCGACGTGAAAGAATGATGAATATCGAGTCTAACCTTCAATCAATGAAGAAATACATACGTCGAACAGGGCCTCCTATGTCTCCGTGTCCTGCCAGTGATTTTCTCCACAATATTACTGAAGTTGCGCTTGTGATTGGATCCCGTAACCCGTTGGTTGGGATGATGTATGCGTAGCGTATACAGCATAGTGGAAGTAGGTCCGGGTGGGGCGACTACTAGTCCTGCGTAGTTCTCTGACAAATTCGCCAGATATCGAGGGGAGGAGGATGAGCAGGGAGGGCTAGAGAGCCCAAAGACCGGGTCTGTATGAACGCGACATCATGCAAATGACGAATCTTCCGAGTCGTCGCGCGCCGTCTTGATTTCTCTGAAAAATAAGAGAGAAAGAGAGGGGAGCACGACAGCGTAGGAGCTAGGGATAAGTATGAGCTTTGAAGTCCGAGTGTGCTGCATGAGGCCGGGGCGCTCGATAGCAATAATAAATGCATAAATAAAAATAAAAATACGAGATAAGACGGCAGCGTAATTGGATGTCGGGGAGGAATATAAATAGGACATGGAATGCTAAATAGAATTCAATTGGAATAAAGAATTATAATAGAATAAAGGCTTGATTTTGTGGATAAAGGGCAGATCCTTGTACTAGCAGCCTCGAGCCGGCTCCAGCCCAGTCCGTCGCTATGGGTTTCTGGCCACGGGATTGGCTGCGCTGAAAATCCCCCTGGCCGGCGAGAGTTAATAGTAGCAATAGTTAATCGGTGGACTCGAGTCGAAGCTAGGATCCTTGGAGAATTCAAATCCTGAGGGCCGATAGGCACCACACCCATATCGAACGGCGAAAATCTCTCTTAGGGCTTTCGATTTCGGGAGATAAAGATGGGCATGGACTTTCTTATGCTAATAGGGATGAGGGTGTTTCGTTTCGCAGATCTTTGAGCTTGAGGATTCAGCGGGTCAAAAGGCACCCCGGAATCGTTCATCTTTCACGCTCTCGAGTGGGGAAAGATTGGCTATGGAGTTTCCTATACAGATAGTTGTCAATGGGAGATAGGGATGTTTCGTCTCGTTTACGCCCGGCGATTGATTCGTGCTTCCTACCACTGGCACCGAGTCCGAGTGCTTATGCATATGGGCATGAATTATGATGGCCTGCACATTGTCAGTCATCTCGACTCGCCATTCCTTTTCCTTCTTTTCTTTCCCCTCCTTCAGCCTTCTCCTTCTCTTCGTTATCTCCCCGCCACTTCTACTCCTTAATCTTAAAAGGAATGAAAACTCCGGAGCTTCGAGCACTATCATTGATGACCCTTCTTCTACGCGAGTCAAGTTCCGCCACTGATATCATCTCATATATCCCATCATCCTAATTTCCCTCTAATTACTAATACCATAATTTCAATATTCCATGGCCCGATAGGTAGGTAGGCATACACCCATCAATTGG